ACCCTAAATTGTCAACTCATCCTTAGCTTTAGTTTCCTCACTGTGAAAATGAAATAGGAAGTAGTCACGGTATCTAGTCATAAGGTTCCTGTGTGGGTTAAATGAGGGATGTGGGCCTGGGAAGCTCTTAGTGTTGAAGGGTCACCCAGAACTCATCAGCCAGAACTCTCCTTGTTACTAATGAGCCACCTTTGCAGGAAATGGTTTTTGTGCTTCACTTCCTGGACTTTGTATATGTTTTTAGCCTCAACTTTTTGGATACTATGACCAATTCATTCACATGAAATTTGGGTGAGCTCCACCTTGCAGTCAAATGTTGATTTTCTCTGAGCTCTCAATGGCACTGCCTTTCAGATGGCAGTAGGATTATCCAGGCAGGAGTCTGGAATACAGCGGGGTGTGAGGAGCAGCTGGCCAAACACTCTGTATTATCCAGTTTGGGAGATGGGCTGTTTCGTGGCCGCTAGCCGGCTTAGTTCGCACTGCTCACAGAACTGCTGTCTGCGTTTACTTAAATGTCCACTTATTAAAACTCAACTCTTCCACAAACTCAAGTTGCCACTAGGAGAAAAAGACTGACAGGCTGACTGCCAGAGGAAGAGGAGGGGGCAGGCTTTGGGCCCTCCTTGGTCTGAGGGTCCCGAAAGGGCTGTACCCCTGGGATCTCCAACCAGGTCTCCCACCCAGCACAAAAGACCCTGAACTGTCAGCTCCTTTGGGTGACATCTTGCACAAGAGGGATGGCCTTTAACCTCCAGAGAGATCTGCAAAGAGGTCTGAGCCAAGGGGGCTGAATCTGGACATTTGTCATTAGCTAATGTGACCTTATCTTCTCTCCCAAGGAGGCTTGGAGGGGCTTGAGTTCTTTCTGGAGAGTTCTGGAGCAGCCTCTGACCTTGCTGAGCCTCAAACTCTCCCTGAAACTTCCCCCAAGAGTAGTTACATGTTGTGGCCTGTGGCTGGCTCGCAGCAAAGTAACTCTCACCAGCCACCTCTCCCAAGGTGCCTGCTTGTCTCTTTTCTGTGGCCTCCACCGCCAAGTCCCTGACCAGGCCCTGGGCTCGAGTTGTGTGTCCAGTGGACACTCCACTCCTTTGAGTCCTACTGTGGCCGCCTTAGCTGCCAGCACGGCCATGTCCCTGGATGTCTCTGAACCATGCTGGGCTCTATCCAGCTTGGTCCTGAGATAACGACGTGGCGAGGATACTGTTCTCCCCCACTAAGAAAAATCTGGCCCCAGGCTACTGCCAGGGTGGGCGAGGGTCTGGGCACCTGGGCTGCCAGGGCTGGGGGTTCCGTGTGGTTGAAGCAGCTTTGCTGGGCTTCCCTGGGAGCCCATCCTAGGCTTGCCACTCATGTTGGATCAAAAACATGAGGAGATTTCCTGCATTTTCCAGACAAATAGCAGCCACTGGGGAGTGTCTGGATCCCAGAAGACCTGTGTTAAACATACTTCTTTAATGTTGCGGCGATGTATTGATTTTTTTTTCTCTGTTTAGAGATAATTAGATGTCCTATTTCTTCTTCTCTCAGTTTTGTTAACTTGTTTTTCTCAAGGATCTGTCCAGTCAAACTGGGCTGTTAAATAGATCAGAATGAATTCATAAGAGTTCATTTTTACCCTTTAACACCTGTGAGCTCTGTCACGTAGCGGCTCATTTATTTCTGGCATTGATGACTTGTTCTTGTTTATCTGTCTGTCATTTATGATTAGGTTAGCCATGGGTTAATCAAAGTTATTTATATTTCAAATAAAAACAAATTTTCTCTTGGGTCATTGTCTCTGTAGCGCTTCTGTTTTCCAGTAAACTTTCTGCTCTTGCCTTTATTACGCGTTCCTTTACACTTATTTTTGGCTTAAATTTTTTTTTAATGTTTCTTACCCTTTTATGAAAATAGCTTCTATTTCTACTTTAAGTGTCGAGTGGAGAACTGTGTCCTTTCTTGGTTTTTCAGCTACTTTGAAAAAGGAGCCATGACTCTGTCCTTGCTAACACAGGTGCGGGAGAGCCGGCCCTCCTCTGAGTCCACTCTGCCTGCAGAGCCAAGGCCGACAGCTGACCCTGAGCAACACGGTTTGGAATATGTGGGTCCACTTATATGTGGTTTTCTTGTCAATAGACAGTGCCAACTTACATTGTGGAGAAATACAGTGCAGTCCTGTGAGTGTATTTTCTCAGTAACATTTTCTTTTCTCTAATCCACTTTATTGTAAGAATATAGTATATAACCCTCTATGACAAAAAATGAGTTAATCAACTGCTTATGTTATTGATAAGGCTTTAGGTCTGGGGCAGGCTATCTGTAAAGTTTGGGAGGAAGTCAAAAGTTATATGTGTGCAGCACTGTAAAGCTGTCCACAGCCTCTGCAGCATGAGTTCAATCCCGGCCAGCCAGGGAGCTACCCACACAGCACAGCAGACCTCTCCTGTCTCGCCTCCTGTCTCTGCTGCTCCCCTCAGCGGTGTGTTTCAGTAGATCCTGTTGTTCTGCTCCCCACTCTGTCTGGTGAGTCCTCTCACCCCCCACAACTCCGGCTTGCACCCCAGTTCTTGTATGCATAAATAAATCTAAAAAAAAAGTTATATGTGGATTTTCCAGTGTGTGTGTGTGTGTGTGTGTGTGGGGGTCAGTGTTCTTCACCCCGGAATTGTTCAAGGATCAATTGTACTTCAAGTCTGTTTTAGCTGTAAGTTGAGTCAAAGTGATTTCTTTTTAGGGGCCTCCCTGGTGGCCTTGGGGTTCAGTCTCAGTGCTATCACCGCTGTGGCCTGAGTTGGATCCCCAGCCAGGGAGCTACCCACATGGCACAGCAGACCTCTCCTGTCTCCCCGCTGGTCCCCTCAGCAGTGTATTTCGTCAGTCTGCCTGTTCTGCTCCCCACTCTGTCTCTGGTGAATCCTCTCATCCCCGCACCTCTGGCCTGTACCCTAGTTCCTCTAAACACATACATATGCACACAGTGGTTTCATAATTACCAAATTAAGGAACATACTTTAATCTTATTTTGTGTGTTACACTGATATTATTTGTCAATAACAAACAGTTTTATGAAACTGGACTTCCCCTCTCCTGGGTTTTTCTTGCTGGTTCTTTCTATTCCCCAACATTCTTCTCCCTGAGATGCTGTTTTTCTGCCTGTCAAGTAAGTTTAATTGTTCTGTCATATTCTGACCCCAGCCCGATTCTTCTCTCTTTTTATGAGCTGTTCTAAGTCATCGTGTTCAAATGAATCAAAACTCTTTCTCCAAGACCCTAACAAATATGTCCTTTCATTTTATAACTATACTTGGTCTCCAAAGTTCTTGGGACCAGTGTGTTCAGTGCACAGAGAGAGAGGAAAGTAAGGTTAGACCAGCACATCCAGAGACAAAGGCAGAGAAATGAGAATTGGGCCAGTTAGGGTCACTTATTAAGATGAAAATCAAGCAGAATGTAACTGGCACACTTGGGATTAACAGCTTTTAGCTTGTTTTAGGTGATCTGGGCAAGACGTATCGGTGAAGAAAAATTTGCCCAAAATGTTCAGTGGAATCAATAGATCTGACATCTGATTAATAAAAAATAATTGAAAATAATTTAGAGAACTGTAGCTGGGGGGGCTTGGAAAGGAATGGGGTCTCATTGGGTGGAAGAGTCAGCATCTGACTTCAAAGTCAATGACTCTTCCGTGGCCTGTGGCTGACGGACGTGGCTTGTTCACAAGTCGGTCTCACCAACAAAGCCACCAGCTAAGTTAACAGTGTGGGGTGTCCATCTTGCACCAAAGGAGCACACACCTATTCTTCCTTCTTCTTATGCATTTGAATGTTCTTACAGCATCGCAACACCATGACGACAGGCACCGACTGGGGGCCCCGTTAACATGAGCTGGCCCTCAGCGAGGCAGGTGCTATGTGGATGGACAGCCACGGTTTTGCCTGGGCTGAGACTGACTCGATCAATGAGTTCCTAGAAACTCAGAGAGGAGGAGCAGGTGGGGGTGGGGGGCTACAGTGGCACAGCCACAAAGTCCTTCAAATTCCCTTTTGCTATCATTCAACAGAGGAAAATGGCTCGTTTCCTAAAATATTACTATTCTGGGAAAGAAAGTTTAAAATTGAACTGGCCATGGAAATAGGTATTGATTTGAAGTGATGTTAGGCTCGGCTGGAGTGTGTCGAAGGTGAAGACAAGATGGTGAGGCTGAAGCCATTTCCTGTGTGTGATGGGAGGGGAGGGGAGCTGTTTGCTCTTCTCTGTGCTGATTGATGTCTTATGTAGAAAGACTAAATCTGCTTTTTTAAAAAAAAATGATTATTTTATTTATGCATAGAAGAACTGGGGTGCAGGCCAGAGGTTGAGGGGGTGAGAGGATTCACCTGTGTGACAGAATGGGGAGCAGAACAGGTGGATCTACTGAAATCCGCTGCTGAGGGGAGCAGGCGGGAGACAGGAGAGGTCTGCTGTGCCCTGTGGTCAGCTCCCTGGCTGGGGATCGAACTCAGGCCATTGTGGTGATAGTGATGAGATTTGACCCCTAGGCCACAAGGGAGACCCCTAAATCTGCCTCTGCCTTGAAACTTGAGGTTGGGCAGAGAAAGGACCGGATCTCCACCTGTCATTTCAGGCCAACCTGAACTTGGAGAAGCCATGTTCTTTTCTCCTTTCCTCTCTCCCTGCTTCCATTTCTCCCTCTATTCCTTCTGCCTGGTGACAAGAGTCCTAACCAGCGAAAGAACATTATGCTACAGTTTTAAAACCATAAACCTAAAGTCGTGCAGATCTGACCACAGAGATGTCCCTGCGCCTCTGGTTCTGCTGGGAACGCTCGCTTGCTCTGGGGGGTGGGGGCAGAACCTGAACCAGGTCCCCCAAGTCCTTGACCTTGCTCTGTTCTGCCTTGGAGGGGGCTGTACTTACTTCTGGAAGGAGCTCTGTCCAAGCCCCCCACGGCGTGTGCCCCTCCCTCTGTGTCCCTGGAGCCGGCTGAGGGTCGCGATGGCCTTGGCGGGACTCACCGACAAACAGCTGGCTGTAGAGCTCCAGGCGGGTGTGGCCTTCCGTCGGGGCCTTGCGGGTCCTCTGCGGCAGCCGGTCCACCTGCAGGCTGGCCTGCTTGACGTTCCTCTCGGCAGTGACCCGGTGCCACTGGTCGTCGTTGAGGGGCGAGGGCGACCGCACCACAATCTCCACTGGCCCGTTGCCAACGTCAAAGGAAAAGGACACTTCTGTGGCAGCTGGAGGAGCAGAAAGTGTGAAGAAAACATGAGTATTTTCCTGCAGGTACCAACCAGCAGTGACTCTGGAGGATAAACAAAGCAGGGAGAGAAAAATCGCCTGAGCCCTTGCTGCAAAGGTCCATGGCCCGATCACTTGAGGAAGGCCCAGGTGTCATGGTCAGGGTTGGCCACCGAGGGCCCGGGGAGGATGCGGCCTGGGCTGGGGCGGGTGTGCATTCCCATGCTCCGTCTTTAAAAGCTGCCCAGAAGTCACCGTCACTGACCCTTTCCAGATCAGGGCGCCGAGGACTGGGGACACACGTGGCGAGAGTCCTAAGCCCATCAGGCGTGGGGGCAGGATGGGAACCAGGCTGTCCAGGCTTCAGAGCCTGAGACCTTGGGACTCTGCATGCCCTGAGCTCCACAGGGGCGCCAGGGAGCTGAGCCCCATCTGCAACTCAGTCCCTGAAACACTGTGTCTGGCTCCATCCCCAAAGATCCTGCCTCAATTAGTCTGGAGTAGACACTGGTATTTTGAGAAGCTCCCCTGCAGAGACAAAGGGCAGCAGGAGCATGGGGAAGACCCAGTCGCTGCGGTTCCCACAGGAACTCTGGGCTCCCTGAATCCCCGAGGTGATGCTGGTGACCTGCAGCCTTGTCGGGCCCTGGAGGCTGCGGAGAGGTGCCCCACAGAGCAACGCGAGAGTCCAGAAGCACGGGCTGTGCCCCTGGCTCCCCCCCAACCTCGCTTCCCACACCCCTGGATCACCTGTTTTTGCCTACATCTGCTTCAAATCAACCTCCCTCCCTAACAAATCGCCCTTCATAGCAGGAAAACGCACAGGTGGTTGCTTTGGCGACTTCAGTGGTAAAGAGGTTCCTCACTTCACATTTTAGGTTTTAACTTCCACAGTGACCACCTGGTGCTTTACAGATTTTTTCTTTCATGTCTATTTCCCTCGTGATTGGGGAGTGGGCCGCTCAATGCTGAAGCAGCACAGCCGCGCCTCTGGGTCCCCAAGGCTGGAGACTTCTTGGCGACATGAAAGCTGCAGCCCCAGCAGAACTCCAGACTCTGCCACCACAGAGCTGCAGCCCTTACTACCACTAAGCCTCTGCCTAATCTCTGAGCAGTTTAATTAAATATCTGTCATTTTTTCCCGAGCTGATGGAAAAACAGCTTCTTGGGGCTGGCACTGTTTTGAGATGATGTCTCCAGCAACCACACTTGTAATTTCAAAGCCACAGTGGTCCGGATTCTCTCAGGACTGGGGCTGCTCCCCTATCTGGGCCAGGCCCTGCCGAAAGCTGCATTAGCTTTGCTGAATGACAGGATATCAGTGGCAGGGCTCGATGCAATCAACCTCATTGTGCCAAGGAATCTGGATCCTTTCTGTCGTTGGAAAGAGAGCTTGAATCTTAACAGCCATGGTGATTCCACATGCCCCCTGGTGCCACAGCCGCTCTGAGGTAGGAGCCCGTGGAGTTGGTGGAGGCCAGTGACCTTCGTCGGGCATCTGGAGACGAGCGATCAGAGGCAGGTGGATGGTCTGTGCTCTTGGACCAAATGGCCTTGTCCTGTATTTCTGAATGGACATAATCAAAGGGGAAAAGGTGGCTTCAGATGTAAGGCTGAGTCTGTTCTGTCGTGGCCTTCTTCTAGCAGGTGTGTTTAGGACATAAGGTGTCAGGACGTCAAGAGAACGAGGGCTCCTGAGCCAAGCAGACAGAGGGAGCTGTTTTAAAGGCGTCAATAGCCATCAGGGAAATAGAATTTAGGGATAAATCGAGTTTAGCCCTACGGCTTCACTTGGAGGGACAAACCTGCTCTAATTTCCTCTCCTCCTGCTGCATTGGCGTCTTGGCCAGGTCTTTAAAAGGTCACTGTGGATGGAGCCAGAAGGGGTGATGCTAAGAGGAATGAGCCAGAAGAAGGATAAATACCGGATGGCGTCCCACGTGGAATACAGAGAAACCAAACAAACGGTCAGACAAAGACAACATTAAAACCATCGCCTGAAAACTGACTACAGAGTTGAGGCATGGGGGGTGGGGAAGGAGGGGGATACGGGGTTGGGGGGCGAGCACCGTGGACCCCTGTGGTGGGGGACTGTGGGTGCGCCGGCGGTGGGAGAGCGACAGCGACCACGCCAGAGGGGAGAAATCCTGTGCTGCCAGAATATTAGCAAGGATGTACAACAGTGGCACTTCAGTGAATTAAATAGGGAGATAGAGAAATAAATAAGGTCCCCGTGGGGAGAGAACTGGAGCAGCAGCAGTCAGCCGGCGAGAGCTGGTTGTCAGACTGTCTGTTCCTCCGGACCATGGTGGCCTCAACACCGACGCGTCCCTCTCCAGGAGGAAAGGAAAGGAGGCCTCCCGCGGCCTGCTCCGGCTCTTACCCCAGCTGGAGTCAGGGCCAGGGTCCCTGAGAGTGAATCCTCCCTTCAGGCTCTGCTGAAGAAAGACACTGACAGCAGGCCCCGAGGAAGGGGGTGCGCGCGGGGTGCGAGCGCAGGGAAGAGCTCTTCTCACTCAGTCACCCAGTGTCAGCCCCCTGCCACTGCTGAGGGACGCCCCGAGGAATCCCAGCTCCTGGGCACACGACACGTGTGGTTTAAAAGCTTCTGAAGTTCAGTTTGCGGCTGATTGCTCTGGGTCTTCCGGGTGAGAGGAACTGACATTTTAAAAGAGATAATTACAGAGCGCGCCAGCGAGTGGATACAAGGGGGGCAGCCTCGAAGACTCCGGAGGCAGCGACACCACCCTTGATGGGCGACTCCAGCGGGCAACTCCAGCGCCGCCCTGCTCCTGCCGTGGCAAAGGCCTGTGGCATAGGCTGGGAATGTTCTCGCTTCCCGACGTAGGTTGCATACGGAGCTGAATGTCTGTATCACGCCCCCTGGGAAGAAGCCCGTGGCAGACACCATGTCTGCCTTTGCATCAGTGTCGAGAAGTGGGGAGCCCCTGGGGCTTTGCTCTACTTGAAGACTGACCAGTTTGCTGCCCCAGTTTCACAGGCGCTGGAGAAGACCCCTTGGGTCAGAGACAAAGTCTTCATTACGCACGCACAGCAGGCTGCACGGATTTCCACTTCACCTGGGTTTCCCTGGTTTCCCCCCAAACCCACAGGGGCCTGAGGAGCAGTCCAGGCAGACCCTGCATGGGCAGTGGATTTGTGTCCCAGAGGAAGGGCCTCAAACGCAGGAAGGTCCAGTCTTTTCAAGGGACTGCTGGCAACTTTGGCCGCGGGGAGCGGCGTCGGCTCTACTTCCTGAGCAAAAAACACATCTGAGATGTTCTGGAGATGCTGCCTCCACCTTCCGAAGCTGTTTGCTCAATGCGCCTCCTTAAAAAGGCATGAAGAGAGTTGTCCATGCGCGGCCCCCCGCCCCCCGCACCCAGGACAAGCAGAAGTGGGAGAAACCCCTGGGGACTTGCCCCCTGACACTCGGCAGCCCCCTTCCTTGTGCGCTGCCCCAGCTTTGCCAGGAATCGGAGCGCGTCCCTCCAGCCTCACGCTCCAGGGAAGGGCGGCCCGGCCCCAGGTGAGTGTGTCTAAGCCAAGCACGTGGATTCCATGCTCCTTGCCAGGACTCGTAGGACAGAACAAATCATTCCTTCCTGGCCAATAAAATATGAGGTGAGTCTGGATGTGCCCTTCGAGACACATTTCTGAGCTCATAAGAGAAGAGACAGTGAGTCCCTGTCCTGCCCGTGACCTCAGGCTGTGTCCGCTGGCGCAGCTGGGCTGCCTGCAGGCACCAGGGGAAGAGTGGCAACGGGCCAACCTGGGGCTTTGGTGACATTGCTGAGCCCTTGAGTTACTCCCACAGCCACCCCGAGACTCCTCCCGTGAGCTCTCCATTATGGAGGAGGCCATTTCTTATTGCAACTAAAAGAGTCTTAACTGATGCAGGGGACAGTTTGGGAGTCAGTACGTGTGAATTCTGGTCCTGAAACTGCCTTTTCCCCATTTGTGGCCTTATTTTAATGGTGTCTGAAGTGAGGATCTCATCCACAGTTTTCCAAGCGTTTCTGTGTCCAAGGTGTGTTTGACAACGTTCAACGAGGCAATCTCTGAGGTCCTTTCAAATGCCAGCGGTTGATTGTCTGATTGCCAAGAGGGTGGAAGAGAAACACTAACAAAGGAACATGTCTCCATGGTGGTTTTAGATATTGAATCATTATGGGGAGAAAAGAGAGACCTTAAAAGAGAAATGCGCAAGGGGCATACGGGCACCAGAAAAGAGATCAGTGCAGAGACGATCCTTGAATCCATCTGGGTCGTGACTTCCTCTGGCCAGCCCGGGGGCTCTCATGTGCTCCCTGCCCCCTTTCAAGTATAATTCCAGCAGGGGGCACTATTCACACTCATTCTAACTCATCAAAAGTTCTCTCCGACACATCACTCCAGGCTTAATGTATCGAGTGACAAATTTAACAACCTACCAGAATAGCAGACCTTTGCTTTGAATTCTCCCAGCAGGAGCAGTAACATGTAGACATTGGACTCCGAGTGTCAGTTGAAAGCAGCAGACAATATTTGGTCATTCGATGTCGACTAGGCAAAGCGGCTCGGCGAGGAAAGTACCCCCAGTGAGAACATTGGGCGGGCGGCGGACACAGCTGCAGTTTTGATGGTGATGTGTTTCTTCCATTTCAAAACGAAGTTCAGAGATTGATAGCTTCCAAAGGGCTTTTCTGCACAAAATCTCATTTGACCCATACAACAAACTGATTATTGTTAGAGCAAGTATTTTAGCCTCCTTCTGCTGCAGACTGTTATGAATATATTTTCCTTTTGGTGAAGGGCTAAGACTATTTTAGAAGACAAAAGAATTCATGCAACATGAAAGGGCCAAGAAGGGGGAGGAGAGGCAGGTGAGTGGAAAGCGAGGGAGGCAGCAGAGGGCGAGGAACAAAAAGAAGAAGGGAGGAAGGGGTCTGTGTCCTGTCCAAGGTCAAGCTTCCACTCAAGGACATCAATCCAGCAATTCCGCCCCGCCCCACATTAC